ACCTTATCAAACCCACTGAACAGTTTATAGAAAAGACTGCAGAACTACAGGGTGAATCTGTGTAGTTTGCACTTATTATTATTATTATTATTATCATCACTATTATTGCATAGCTTAACATACAATATCTCAAATGCATGATGATGATAAATAGAAATACATTTATATTTACAATAATGTAAATGTAGGGGCTACAGGGTGGCTCGGTGGTTAGCACCGTGTTAGGACAAGAAAGTCTCCGGTTGGCGTCCCGGTGAGGACACCTGGAACTGCGTGGAGTTTGCATGTTCTCCTCATGCAGCGTGGGTTCTCTCCGGGTTCTCCGGCTTCCTTCCACAAGTCCAAAAACACACTGAGGTTAATTAGTGATTCTAAATTGTCTGTAGGTGTGAATGTGAGTGTGCTTGGTTGTCTGCCTCTAAGTGTAGTCCTGTGATAGACTGGTGACCTGTCCAGGGTGTCTCCTGCCTTCACCCTAAATCAGCTGGGATAGACTCCAGCCCCCCACGACCCTAGTGAGGATTAAGAGGTGTATAGATAATGGATGGATGGATGGATAATGTAAATGTATTTTATTGATTAAATATTTCAATTATTCAATCATTTTTAAGGATTAAAAGCCTACATTCTTAGATTCCAGCTTCTTACATGTCAATATTTTCTGGTTTCTTTGCCCCTCTATGATCGTAAACTAGATATCTTTAGGTTGTGGACAAAACAAGACATTTCAGAACACATCAACATTTTTCACCATTTTCTGATATTTTATTGACCAAACAACTCGTCTTTCAACCAAGAAGATAAGTGACAGTGAAAATAACTGCTAGCCACCCTGCAAAAAGTAAAACAAAACACAATCATCTATTTTACTTCATTTTCCTGATGTGTTTTTTAATATAAAAACTGAACAAACAGACGGGGTCATTATAGATAAGGTAACTTAATAGGAAATGAAAAGAAAATTGATTATAGCATTGTTTATGTCTATATTTGTTCTTTGATATATTCTCTCGATTCTGCAACAGACAGAATGTTCTCTACACAAATTACTGGTCCAGCATTTTTCACACTTTTAGTGGCACGTCTCAGAAAAGTTCCTAAATTTTCTCAGTCCAGTCGGAACTTGTTGAAAACTCCTTTCTTACCCATTTCCCGGATATTGTTTATTTATTTCTATTTTTTAATTTGCTATGCTTTTTGAGTTCAATGGGTACATTTACCAAATAAATAATTGAATCGCAATCTCTGAGCTGATCACTGAGTTCCACATCTAACCAGTAAAATTACATTTTAGGACGCCTTCTGTAAAAAGGATCAGCAGTCACAAACTACATATTCTCCGACACGCATCATTTTCAAGTTTATTTCTTCTCTCGTCTTTTCTATAACTATAGAAAACTTCTTCTATCTTATTTGCTAATTAATACATTAGTACAGTACAACTAATACAGTATTTATTTTATATCTTTAGCTTGCAGATTCAGTTCGGTTAAGAAGACAAAATGCAGTTTCCCTTATCTAAGTGGCGATGTAGTTTTAATTTGTGTATAGCTGTTCCATATATTCACACCTTCAAATGTTTTTTAACACTGATTTTCGCAAATTGTTTTGGCAATTTTGCACTATGCTGTTATGTATTAATACAAATGTTGGCGGTTAGACGAGGACTGAGACCTACTCGAATAGGAAGGTAATAAAACAGTGTCACAGAACAGCTAACATTTGTATGTATATCAGCTGGTGTGTGGGAATGCGTTGGTGCTATGCAGCTATATTACTGTGATGTGTTAGACAGGAGCTCATCTGCTGGCAACTGGCTTCATGAGAGTTTAATCAGGCTGTAGATCACTGACTAGGTGCAACTGTAGAGTGATCTACATATACAATGATTCACCACGCTGCCTTATTTTGAGGAAAATCTAACCTAGACTGAAATGTTTGTACTCTGTGAACACTTTTTTTCACTGTACAACCCTGTGATGTATCAAACAGTTATCTAAAATCCCATCTGAACTCCTTTTTATGTTCTGTGTGCGTCCTCCTTTGCTGAAATTTAACTTTTTCCAGAATACTGCACCGAACAGTTATAGTGCAGTTTTTTAACCACGACCCTTGTGAACTACTGACTTTGATCCGACAGTCACTGGGTGAACTACCTCGCCTGGAAGACTTTTGTCTTTTGTTGGTCTGAGGACAAGTTTGCTTAGACTGCAACTATTATTGTTGTTAAGGCTGTTAATGTATATATACACTACTCACAATAAGTTAGGAATATTGTGTATTTACATGAGTGCTTTTCCTATTTGGTCTGAATTTTAATGAAATAAGTAAAAGTTCCCTTTAATGTTACTAATAATGAATGAGAAGAAACACCATTTTCATTAGTTTAATATTTATTACCCCCGAAATTTAAACAATAACAAGGATCGCCCCAAATAACAAAAATTGACAATGTCAATAGTGGGTGTTTCCACCATTTGCCGCAATGACAGATTGACAACGACGTCTCATGCTCCTCACTAGCCTCATGATGTTGTTCTGAGGCAATGCGTTCCACTGTTCCACAAGTGCTACACACAGTTCTGCCAGGTCACGTGGGGGTGGAGTACGCTCATCCAGTCTCTGCTTCAGCTGGTCCCAGACATGCTCTATGGGGTTCAGGTCAGGGGACATTGCTGGCCATACCATATGAGGCACTCCAACTTCCTGAAGTCGAGTTGTGACAATTCTGGCACGATGTGGTGGAGCATTGTCATCCATGAACAGAAAGTTGGGGGTGTGCTGGCGGAATTGGGGGATGATGA